ATTCAGCACACTTTCTACAATACCATGTTGTCCCTCCATTCAACCCACCTGTTTCGCAGATGAGGAAAGTAAGGCCCTGAGAGAGGTCTGACATAAAATCTAGCTGGTGCCAAAGCCAGGTCTAGAACCTAAGACTCTGAACTTCTACTCTTGGGCTCAATCAACTGCTCCATTCTTCAACAATCTTCTTAATAGGAAAATTCTTCTTGATAGTTAACTTAAGTTTCTTCTGTTGCCACTTAAGTCAACTTTCTCTTCCTCTTCTTGATTTGAGTACAGCTGGATTAATAATTAATTAATTAGGGTTGGACTAGGTGATCTTTAAGGTACTTCTCGTTCTAAATCTAAGATCCCATGCTCCGACAACTGAACAGTCCCTAAGATCCTTCCCTTTTAATATTCAATTAACACCAATCAATAAGCATTTATTAAGAACCTAATATGTGCCAGTGCACTGTATCAGGCTTCAAGAATCCTTCATGGACCTGGAAACTATGGCTATGTCACCTTTTCAAAGCTTTCTCTTCTCTCTGACCTACTTAGACTCTTCTGTGGATTAAGTGGAAAAAGTGCATCTCTCCTGAATGTGTTCTCTAGAAGCACAATTGTTAAAAGATTATTCCTGTTTCACTGAAGAAAATCAGAGTTTCCTTAGCCGCCTGCCTATTAGTGAGCATCAATGGTGTGAATGATTCTGAATTGCCAATCCAGCAGTTTTCTTCCTGCAGCGCTCTCTATCTCCTCTGTCATCTGAGCTCTGCTCTACTCAGTGCCATGCAATGGGAAAGAAGCAGCCTCCCTTACTAAGCATGATTATTTGCATTTTTTGGATTTCTTTTTGCCCTATTTTTTAATTTCCCTTACAGGGGCTCGTTTTTCTATTATTCCTTTAAAGAGTGACATACTCAAAAAGGAGAAGAAAGTCAATCATCTTAACTCTAGTTTGTTCTCCACAATAAGCATGAATGTTTTGAGACAATAGTCTCCTAGATAGTGGGACGAAACCCCCCAAAATGGCTTCTGTTTTACTCTCTCCTCTCTCTAGTTCCCAAACCTAATCCATTAGAGCTGTAACTAGGGTGGAATGAAAAGCACTGATGCCTAGAGGGGCATACTAGCATCCCTACCCTTGGCACTTTATCTAGAGTGTTGCATTGCAGTGATGACCCCTTCTTAGGACTCACCTCAACCCCAAAGGGGTCAAGGACTGGACTGTCTAGGCAATGGGTTAATCCCCTCCCCCACATCTGTGGCTGAACTTTCTATTTTGCTGCCTCCCTCCACTCTTCACACGCCCAATTTTGCTGCACAGAAAAAAAGTTCCCAGTTCTACTGTAATACATTTGTATGGCTAGAAATTAGGAATGAAAGGCTCCATTCGTAAAACATAGAGATACCTGTTCTCCTCTTTCCCTTCTCCCCACTCTGCTGTCACACATGGTATCGTCCTTATATTTTTCCAACTGAGAGACCCTTTGTTCTCAACCAAGTCTCTACAGTATATGACATGTTAGTCTGGACTGTGCTAGGAAATGAGAAATTCTGGTCTATTAGGGGGTCTTACGTTCTTAGAACATTTCCCTTTCCACAAGACTACACAATCTGTCCTACTATGGCAGAGCTTTTGTTTTGTTTTGTTTTGTTGTTTTTTAAGAGCCTTCAAATGAAAGATGAATTAATGCCGTAACGAACATCCTGAAATAGCTAGAGAGCCCAGTAAGCATCCCAACTACCAGGTCTGCTTCTTCGCCCCCTCCCCACCCAACAAAAACCCTACAAAATTGCTAGCAGAAATTTAATTATTCAGTACAAAAAGATACAGGGTTCCCACCCACACACCTTTACTAACTTTTAAACTAAACTGGCAGCTACTGTTTTGGAGGAGTTACAAAAACATGAATCTAAGTTTTCCCATAAGGAAAGTGGAGACAAAGTGCATGTCAAATGGTTATTACTTTAGTAGTCCAAGCTATTCAATATAACCATTTAATTTGCAGGAGGAATGTGGCATAGTGAATAAACAGGCTTGGGTTCAAATAGCATCTCTGACATTACCAGCTTTAAGACGGTGAGCAAGTTATTTGGGCTGAGTCTTAGTTTCCTCATCTATAAAATGGGGATAATAATGCCCATGGTATCTACCTCACAAGGCTATTGTGAGGCTCAAGTGAGCTGAGTTATGTAAAACATTTTGCCAACCCTAAAGTGATATATAAATCTCAGTAATCATTATTTCCAGGAAGTAATGCATATACTGGGATGATTTGGTTGATTGTGTCTTTTAAATTTTACTAGACAATGAATATCCAAGCAGGGAAAAAATTTTAGTCAGTTTTTGAGTATCAGATCATGCTCACTCCTACAAAAACCTACCCAAAGCATCTTAGAAACATTATGATCACAAATGGGAGCCAAAAGCTGGTGTGCATTTAATCCTCCACCTCCTATCCCCAGTGGGTTTTCGCTTCTAATGTGTGGCTTAAAACAAAGTTATACAATAAATGTAGAATCTGTTCTAAAATCACAAAGAGAAACTATCACAGAGGTTGCTTTTTCATCATTTCTGGAAAGCAAACATGTGTTAGTTCTGCCAAGTTTTCTTAGTAGACGCACTTTGTAGGCTAAGCTATTCCAAGATGCAGATGTGTAAACATCCTGTGGCTGTGCTGTTAAACCTTTCCCAGCATACTCTGTGCTGATAGTACTGTCTTCTCATAGGGAAACCAGGAAGCATATTGTGAGCAGGTAAGAGCAAAAATAGCAAAGAGCGATATTAACACTATGATCAAAACAGGAATGGAGCAGCAGCAGGAGAGGGCCTGGGAAAGGCAGCAGGGAAGGTCAAAAGGACTAGGATGCCTGGTGCCTTTGACAGCCCATTCCATTCCATCTTTACATTTTACGGTAATGGCAGTCAATATTAGACAGATGTCTGGTGAGGTAAGGGTTCAATTTTTTGAAAGTCCTTGTTTTTGAAAGTTTTGGGTAGCAACTTTACCAAAGCAGAGATAATATCTTTTTTAGATAAGCACAAGAATCAGTAACTGGAAAATGAAAATCTCCTGGAGAAATACTATTTCAAAGTCCCATTTCTTAAAAGTATCCATATCTTCCTGATCTTCTTTGACCTCTCTTCCCCCAAACACAGGAATCTACCGATACAACATGGCTCCATTATGGGCCCTTTCCTACAATAACATTTTGAGTTTACACCTTAAGAATCCGAGAGCAACAGGCCACAGGGGCCCATCAAGAAAAAAGTGTGGAACATAGAAAGCCATCTATCACTACTATGAACAATTCAAGTCAGAGTCCTGCCAATGACAAGAAATCTGGCATGGGAAAGATCGATGTCTTTACTACTGAAGCATGAATCGTGTTAAAAGGTGATTAACTTCCCCCTTCTCCTTTTTCAAAATATCAAAAGAAGTTCTCTAGTCAATTCATTTTTTAAAAAATTCCTACATTTTACAAATTAAAAAAGAAAATTCCAGATTTGTAACTTTTGGATTGTTGCAGTCTCGTAAAGTTCACCCAAATGGTTCAAAAATTAAGACAAAAGCGCAGCCTGTGTGAGACCTTGTATGCTAAGCTACTGTTAGCGTTGAGCTCACTTTTTGTTATATGCACTGAAATTGCCAGTGTCTACTTAAATATGATTAATCACATCAGAATAACATCTGGTTTTTGCATCCACACCCAGTTTCATGCATATTAAAACATGCTCTGAAAGAATGAAAAAGAAAATGAGATAAACATGGATAAAAATGATAAAGGGGGAAAAAAAATCCACTTCTCCATACCACAAAGACTGCTGAGACTGGATCTATACTCATGAGCAAAGACTTCAATGTGACTTGGGGAGAAAAATCAATATCCAACTAAGTGGTATATGAAGCTTTGCACAATGGAAAGAGTCCTGGATTTGGAGTCAGAAGGACCTGGATTCAAATCTTGACTGCCACTTACTACCTGTGTGGCCTTGGCAAATCACTTAACCTCTCTGGGTCAGTTGCCTCATTTGTAAAATGATGAACTTGGACTAGCCAATGTCTACGGTCCCTTCTGGCATTCAATCTCTGGTTGTATGCTTCTTTTCCTGAGATCCCATTGGAATACATCAGCAATTTCTTTGAGCCATTATTATGATCTCTGCTGGGCTGCAGGATAGCCATCTGGAAGCTACAGTCATATTGCACACAATTTAAATACATTGCATTTTTTTTTACTTGATTGTAGCAATATTATCACTAAATCAGTGATTTTCAGAATAACCTCTATAAAACTCAAGTAATCTTCTGGAGACTGCAGGAAATCTGCCCTCTCTTGACTACTCACCCCTCTCCCCAAAAAAAGAAATTCAGTAACAGTAACAATTCTAGCTATTGTGCCTCTGTCATTCATTTTTATTGTATTTTATATGTCAAAGGAAATTATTCTTTGAAATTAATTTAGGGAAGATTTCTCTTTAGATAACAATGTTGTTTTTTGAGGCACATATGCCAAGCCAAGAGTTCCTTAGAGGTAGAGGAAATTATCCATAGCTGTAATTACACCTTGTTTTATGTGACTTTTTTTTAAATTAAAAACAGCAGAAGCAAATTAATACTAAACTAGGGCTGCTGAGAATCATAGACTGGTGGGGCTGAAAAAGCCCTTAAGTTGTCATCTAGTCCATTTTTCAGCTGAGTAAACTGAGGACAGAGAAGTCAAGTGACGTTTCCAAGGTCTCATAGTAAATAACAAAACTAGGACTACAAACCAGGTCTTCTAACACCCACTCCAGTGCTATTTCTAGTGCACCATGCTGCAAGCATTATTTTGACTGTAAGTTTTCTCCCCCACACAGAGACAAAGATACACAATCAGTAAGACATGTAATTATTAGTTCATTATTGGGTAAATGATGTATTTACAACTTAAATTAGTACATGTAAACAGTTGCCACTAACAGACAGGAGGTAGATTTTCATGGTAGCCATAATAGCTGCACAACATACCCCCTTAGCCACTGCCCTCAGCCCTTCCCCCCTCCAAGAGAGGTAGTGCTGCGGGCTGAAGATTTCTTCAGTTCTATTTTCATAGACTGAGTCTCTGCTCGAGGCTCGAATTTGGTCAGATTTCCTGCTCCTGGGGCTGCTACTACTGCCTTTCCTGCTTTCATACCTTTTGACATAGGAATGCGGGTGGGTGTAGGCCGCTGAGATGACCCATCTTGTCCTGACTGCGAAAGAAAAAATAAACAGATGTAAAGTTCATTTGAGTGACTTTTCTGTGAGTGCATACATCAAAACCTAGAGTTTTATTATGTAGGAATACACCCGGGGATCATCTCATCAGATTTTATCTAGAATGAGATTTATACAATTATATACAGCATTACTATATATAACATATCCTGGGAAGAAGAACATGTGCTACCGTGTTATTATACAGATGAGTCTCTGAGAGGATAAATGGTCCACCCAAAAATATTAAGTGGCATAGCCATGATAAAACTACAAGATCTCTTGAGTCTAGTGTTCTTTCTCCTATACCATAATGCTCCCTAGATACGAGAGGGACTAAAGGACTGGTCTTGGATTCAGGAAGACCTGAGTTCAAGTTTAACCTCTGACACTTACTAGCTAGTTGTGTAACCCTAGATAAGTCGCTTAATTTTGATAAGCCTCAGTTTCCTCATCTGTAAAATGAGCACAATAATGCCAGTGGCACTTACATCCCAAGGTTGTCATGAGGCTCAAATGAGACTTAAATATCACCAAGCATTTTTCAAACTTGATAGTGCTATTTGGGATCATGGATCTAGAATTGGAAGGGACAAGAGGCCAACTAGTCCAAATTCTTCATTTTTCAAACAAGGAAACTGAGGTCCAGGGAGATTAAGTGACTTGCCCAAGATAACATAGGTAGCAAGTATCAGATGTGGGATTTGAACCCAGGTCCTCTGATTCCAGAGCCAATGCTGTTTCCACTGTACCCACGAGGGTTATTATTTATTACCTCTAATTCCAAAGCATTGTCCCAACTGTCTTTTTTTTCTATGGTGGAAGCTTATGAAGCCTTCAGCTGGGGCATGGTAGTCTTTTGGTGCTACAAAAGGTTTTGTTGCAGTGCTGAGACAAGATTTTTTGGGGGGTGGGAGATAGGCAAGCTTTGAAAATTATATTTCCCTCTGTATAATATCCTGGAAAGATTTAAGCCTTCACCAACACATGTGCAACTTGCCTTATCACAAAACAAATACATATTACGGAGACAGGAATTTTCTGGCATTTGAAATGTATGCATTTATATTTTTAAAGTAATATTAAAAATATCTTTTTACCCCATATGGCACATCTGGAGGAAGGGCAATGCCATATGTGACTGATCACTTCCCTCTTTTGCCAATCCACATCTATTTCATCAAAATTCTATTTGCTGTCATTTAGGGGTTCTTCACCTTTATCGTCTCATAGGCCTCTCTATCAGTATGGTAAAGCTTATGGACCTTTTCTCAGAATAACATTTTAAGATTGTCCCCAATTTCTCCTATATATCTTGCTTGTACATACATATTTTGTTATTATGTTATTCTGCCACTAGACTCCAAGCTGCTTGAACGGAAGGACTATTTTTTTTTTTTTTTGCCTTTCATTGTATCTTCAGCATTTAGCATAGTGCCTGGCACATAGTAAGAGCTTAATAAAATGCTTGTTGAATGACTTGACAGATTTAATGCAGAAAACATATGTGTGTGTGTGTATATATATATATATATATATGTGTGTGTGTGTGTGTGTGTGTGTGTGTGTGTGTATATATATATGATTTCACATGAATTACATTAAAATGAAGATGTAGGGGCAGCTAGATGGTGCAGTGGACAGAGCTCTGGCCTTGGAGTCAGGAGGACCTGAGTTGAAATGTGATCTCAGACACATAACACTCACTAGCTGTGTGACCCCAGGCAAATCACTTTACCCCAACTGCCTCACTAAAAAAAAAAAAAAGAAGAAAAAAGAAATGAAGATGTAATCCCCCCATATCCCATCCAAGTTTACAGATCCAAGTTCACTGAAATTTCTGCAAGGATATCTTGGGGATCTATGAACATCAGGCTAAAATATCAATGTGTACAGTAGAGAAACTGCCTTCCAAAATGCTAAGGCATTTTGAGCACTCTTGTGTCTTTAAGAATCTAAGATATGGGAAGTACCTTATCCTGTCTTCTATAGATGAGGCTAAGCTTTTCTGGGGGAGTGATTGGCTAATTAACCTGATAGGTCTTCCCAACCACTACCACTTACAACTCTTTCATGTCTCTGCACCAACCATAGCCAAGAGAAAGCAAACTTTGTAGCAACCACCCTGGCTCCCTGTGGCTGCCTGTGTAAAAGTCAAACAAGATAGCGTTCCAACCCTTGAGAAGAAAGGGGAACCTGGAATGCTATTTGACTCCAAAAGAAAAACTTTTGTATAGCTTAAAGGTGCTGTTAGAAGGCTATTAGTTGCTCACATTTTAAAAGTAGAATCTGAAGGTATATGTACCATAGAAGTGTAATTTCTATTGAGGTTGGAAACAGACTATACAGCTAAAACAACCAGCTTCCACTCTTCCTTAAAAGGAGGCTGAGGAAACACTGCGTTGATTGTTTAAAAATTCAAGGCTCATAAAGATTTCCTCATAATTGCATTTCTAATTGGTTACATTAAATGCCCTAGAGCAGTGATGTCAAATTCGAATAGAAAGGGGGGGGCCCTGAACTATATGAAAGGAACCCTAAGGGTTGCATATTGACTTAGAAAACCATTTATTAACATTATCTATGTTCTTTTGTATTTTTATTTATTTTGTTAACTATTTCCCAATTACATTTTAATCTGGTTCAGATTTCACTCTGGAGTATTGTGGGCAGTGTTCAACAACTCTACCCGAGATGACCTCTAAGGTCCCAACTCTGGATCTAGATTCAGCTGTTAAATGTTCTACCACATTTATATTTGCAAATCTGTTCACAGTCTACAAAGGTATTCATATTCTCTAGAGATATCCTGACTTGCTTCAAAAGACATTATAGAAGAGTTGCTGATCAGTAGAGGGAGCTTCCATATCGCCCATTTCCCAAGCTCTGACAAAATCAGAGCTTAGAACAACTCCAACAAAACATATTGATTTTTCAGAAAATGACTTACCTATTTTCATTCATTCATTCAACAAACATTGGTTGATCCCCTACTATGTACTGAAATTTTTTATCAAATAATGAGAGATATAGAGTTGGGAGGGACCATAGAGGGCATCTAGCCCAACCCCCTCCTTTTATAGATGAGGAAATGGAGGCCCAGAGAAGTGAAGACTTGCTCAAGGTCACCCAGGTTCTAAGGGGCAGCACCAGAATTTAAACTCAGGTCTGTGACTCTAAGTTCAGTTCTCTTTCCACTGGGCCTGGGATATGGATAGGATAGTCAACATCACCTTACGTTCTTTCTAAAACTAGTAAGCCAATCAGTTAAAAGGACTTCTGCGGATGACTATGGAGGTCACTGAGAGATAAAAGATAGTAGGGGGTGAGAGAAATGCCTATATTGGTAAAAAGATTAATTTATGGAGGAAATTCCTAGTTAGAAATTCTGCACATTTTTATGACAGTTTTAGAAATCCCCAAACTCCTATAGTGTCATCTTCTGTAAAATGGTGGCAAATTAGTAATCATAAAATTGTATGATTTTTTAAAATAGGCATATTTTTTAAAATAGAGGCAACATTTTGCAATGGCACCAGGCACAACAGAAATACTTAAACATTGGGGCAGAAGGGTTTATAGCATGCTATAGACACCTTTGGGAACTCATTGTGGGGAAACTCCCCAAACAGATGCAGGTTGGCAACTTATAATTTCTGAGAGTGGGCTGGGGTACTAGAAAATGTAAGTGACTTGTCCATGGTCAAACAACTATTACATGTCAGAGGGGCTTGCATTCAGATTTTCCTTTTTCACTTCACCAACTTTGCCATGCTACTTTAACAATACATAGTAGGAAACCAAGGTGAACATAATTGGAAAAATTCTTGTTTGTGACATATCATGCCTGGAATACTGCCATTTGAAATGTACTTCTAGAGGTGAATTTGCTGATTTCCAAGGTGTGAATGCTCACATTGAAAATTTACCAATTAAGCATAGATAGGTGGTACAGCTGACAGAGCACTGGCCCTGGTCAGGAGGACCTGACTTCAAATCCAGCCTCGGCAAGTCCCTTAATCTCAATTGCCTCCAAACAAAAAAAAAAAAAAAAGAAAGAAAAAGAAATCATACACACACACACACACACACACACTTCTAGAGTTGGTGTTTATAGGAAATGAACCCAAGTCTTTAATTGAACTTCAATTTCTCTCCCTTTACATTTCTCTAAGGGTCATGTAAAAAGCAATTCTAAATAGTTATATGAACATAATTTTGTTCTTCCCTCCTCCCATTTTTCCCCCTAGATAAATCTCAGTGAATACCATGGAAACCTATTCTACTTACCATTGACTGAGTTCCCCTGGTGGATGATGTGGTAGCAGGCGTTATAGTGATGGTGCTAGTCACTTTGCTTGCTCCAGGCCTTGAGGAAAAGTTGTTCCTAGGAGAACGAAGGACAGTTCCAGTGGCAACCTCCTTTTCAGCTGTCACATTGACTGGTCTAACTGTAACAAGTGGACTTGCCCCTTCAGCAGACGCCCCAGGGGATCGTTTAAATTGTGAACCCAAGTGAATGTGAATTTTGTTGTCCTCTGTGGTTATGATGTTGGCATTGGAGTTGAATTTTCGTACTGGAGTTGGGACAGTCTGTTTTTCTGGGGTTACTTTGAAGACAGTCCTTCCTATGGGCATTTCCTTTGATTCTGGAGATACAGAGATCTCTGCTGGTGCAGCAGATGTTGATACTGTCATTATCTGAATAGGGGATGTGGGTCTGTCCATAAAAGTTCCCCTGCCACCCTCAGGAACCTTCTCTCTCGAGAATGTAGTTATTGTGACTGGTGACATGGCACGTTCTGGCCCCAATGTTGTGTCACTCCCTTTTGATTTCTGAGACATGACATTTGGTGAGGGAATAATGGTGATCCGAGGTTTTTGGTTCCCTAAGGTAGGAATGACAGTGGTGCTAGAAAAAAATTCTTCAGATGTTGGACTAGTTATCTCTAGAGTAGCTGTGCTATTCTCATGATCAGGAGTCACCCGAATGTGAAGAGGCTGGCCCTGCTTTGGTGAAAGAACCACCTCTCCAGGATGTCCTGGACTAGAATTGGCTTGAGGCCCTTTCTCTGGAGTAGTTTGGGGACCATTTTCTCTTTTTCTCATCCATGGAATCCAAGATTTTCTCATTGTAAGCTCATTTGCTGCTGGAGGATACCTGTCCAGTACAGATGAACGCTCCATGGGCTTCTTTAGCCCCACCTGCCGAAGATTGCTCATAATATGATTCTCTTCTTGAAAGGATTTTCTTATAAACACAGCTGGGGTTTCTTCCTCTGCTGCTTCATTGCTAACTGCATCTGTCTGCACACCAGTAGATGCTACAGGAATATCTACCATCCTCCTTCCATTCACACTTGGCCTTAGAGCTCGGCTATAACGCTTAGAGAGCTCTAACTCTTTTGTCAAGTTAAGGACTTCCTGTCCCATGTTTCGGTTCTTGCTTTCCTCTTCCATAAACCTTTGTTGAAGAACTGAGTAGTCCACCTGTAGCTGAGAAAGCTGGTCTTCTTTGTTCATTAACTCATGAATCTTCTCTTTCAGAGCTTGTACTTCAGCCTTCAAGTCTCTACTCTTGGCCTCTTCCAACCGGAATCGATGTCTTAGCTCAGCCTCCTGACTCACAGCCTCACCTTTCTCAATTGCTTTATTTTTTGCAATCTGGTGCTTTATCTCCTCCAGCTGTTGAGAGAGGAAGTTAGCCTTATCCTGCTCAGTTCTGAATTTTTGCTCCAGCTGATCATACTCATCCTCTGTCTTCATCAAGTCTCCTTCAACTACTTCTAATTGTTGGAGACGCTTTTTCAGTCTTTCTATTTCCAGTGTTAATTCTTTAATCTTATTATCTTCTGGGCAGGTGAGTTCAGGTCCTTTTCGGGATCTACTTCTGGTTATTTCTCGTTCCACTTCCTCCATGCCATCCAGCCTCTTCTTTAATCTGTCAACACTACAACTCAGCTCAGAGGATTTTTCTTCTTCACTTTTCAACCTGCCCATTAACTCATCTCTCTCTTTTGTCAAGCTATATACCTTTTCCTCCATTTCAGACTTAAGTTTTAAAAGCTTCTTACTTTCATCAATTAGTTTCTCAGTCACATCCATAACCTTCCCTTGCTCCACCTTGAAATTTTTATTGAGACCATCTACTTTTCTTTCTTCCTGTTTTATTTTTTCCATCATATTTTTCCTTTCATCGACCAGCATCACAGTAAATGACTTCAGCTTTGTCAGATCATCCTTTAAAGTCATTTCAGCCTTTTCTAATCGGCTTTCAGAAGATTCAAGGTCTTTAACTCGACTCTTCACCACTTCCAATTCGTTTATCAGGTCTTTGGTTAAGTTTTTCTCTTTTTCCAGGTTCAAGTGCAACTGTGTGCACTCCGATTTGCTCTTGCTGAAAGCCTCTTCCAGCTTCTCCAGTTCGGCCATTCTCTTCTGTAGCTTCTCAACTTCGAGCCTGAGCTCTTTGCTGTGGTGTTCTTCTTCCTGCAGTTTCTTCTTCAGTTCTCGACACTGCGATTCCGTTTTGGTGATCTCCGCATCTTTGCCCTCCATTTCCAGCACACGCTTTCGGAGGTTTTCCACCTCCACCATCAGGCTAGAGTTCCCACATTCCCCTTTGGCTATTTTATCTCTTAGCTCCTGAAGTTCTTCCTCAGCCTTCTGAAGGTTCTTGTTGGTTTCTTCCAGTTCCTCAATTCTTCGAGTCAAACCTACCAGCTTAAGCCTAAGCTGCCTGTTGTGAGATTCCTGATTGGCCAATTTAGCGTTCATCTCTTCATGCTCTTGAGAGAACCTTGAAGACTTATGTTCAAAGTCTACTTCTAACTTAAGTAGCTTTTGCCTATCTTCTTTGGATTTTGAAGTAATAGCTTTCAGTTTCTCCTCTTCTTCCTTTAGTTTCTGTGTGAGGTCTTGCACCTTCTGGCTTTGCAGGCCAAGTTGTTCAATGTGCATTTGTCTTTCATCTACCAGCATGAGGGCAAATGACTTGAGTTTCACCAGTTCATCTCTCAATTTATTGAGCCTCTTGGTGTTTTCTTTTTCTTTTCGAGCTTGATAGATCTTCTCCTGTTCAAGAAGCTTTTTTAACCTGAAATATAAAATACAATCGTGCATTAACAGATGGATCAACACTGATGTTTGAGTCCTAGTATGAAATTAAAATCAAAATCATCATCTCAATAAATTATCTCATATCCATAACTGTATGTGGTATGCCAGACCAATATTAACAGGATAAGGGTAGAAAACTAATTGCTAAAAATGAGAATAAAAAAATGAAATTTACCGAAGGGGGCAGGGGACCCTAAAAGTCCAGTGTCTTCAGTAGATTACAGATTTAGAACTATAAAGGGTCTTGGAAGTTATCTTGTCCAGTCAGTAAACAAGCAAGTATGAAGATCTTACTATGTGCAGGCATTGTCCTATGTGCTGGAGATACAAAGAAAGGGAAAAAAAAACAGCCCCTGCTCTCAGAGGAGCTCAACCCTAGGAAACTGAGGAAACTAAGGACCATCCATGTATGAATTGTGTTAAAGACACCTGGTATGCATTGCTTTACTTGCTATTTAAACTAAGCAAATATTACTTAATGATGATGAAACTACAGAAGACGACCCAACAAACCCAACAGTAGTTTACATAAAGTCCTCCTCCTCCTTTTTTATACTTGGCTAACCAATGACTTTGTCCCCTTTTCCTCACTACATAATTTTACTTTGATAGAGACCAAGGTTGGGAGGAAATCAAGGGCTTTTCCAAATTTAAAAAAAATCAATTTCTAGAATTACTTCTCTGACATAACCCTTCTTCTTGGTATGATGTAGAAAGCTGTCTCCTTTATGATAAGAATTTATTTATTTTTGTCTTTGTATCATCAGCCCCTAGGGCATCTTTTGACACAAGGAGGCACTTGACAAATCCTTGTTGATTCATCCACTCATTCATATATCTCTCAAAGTGAAAACAGCATATAATTGGCTATTTATTGTTAATTGGCTTCTTTTACTTAATCAGTCATAGCCATTTTGAGAATTTACTTTAATATGTGCATAAAAGCACTGAAGTTAATATAATAGTTCATATGTAGACCACATGTTAATATGAAAATGTTTCTGTAGTTATTTAATGTGTTTACAGTAAAGTTATAAACAACCAATAAAATGTGTTTATTTAGGTACATTTTGTTCTTTCGATAGTCACACAGACTCCATAAACATTTTCTTCACCTAATTTGTTTTGAGAAGTTTATTAAACATTTTTGACTAGATGAGCTGTTAATAAAGTAAATGTAGTTATAATAGATTTCACATTGCATCATGCAATGACTGGATGAACCTACAGAAACAATTTATAGCAGCTTTATAATAGAACCATGTGTCAGATTAGTGTTAAAACAACAGTTTTGATGATTTCACCACAATATAATCCATATAATGTGTTTTATAAACCATAATATGCTCTTTCAAGAGCTATGTAAACTTGTACACAGGACCTATGAGACTTTGGAAAGACCACTTAAAGCTCTCTGGGCCCCAGTTTCTTGAACCATAAAATGAGAGCAGTCCAATATTAACTAAATCAGTGGTGTCAAACTCAAATAGAAGTAGATCTCTGTGGGTTACATATTGACTTAGAAAACCACAAATGAACACTATTTATGTTGTATTGTATTTTTATTCATTTCCTAATTACATTTTAATCTGGCCATTTTGTGGGCACTGGAGGACATGTGAGTTTGACAACTCTTAATTGTATGACCTTAAAAGTCTGTTCCATCTCTAAACCTATGATCCTAGTATCATAGAGTTGGAACGAATATTAGAGATCATCTAGTCCAGCCCCCTCTTTTTGCAAGTGACAAAACTAAGACCTTAAGTGATTTGTTCAGGATTACACAAGTAGTAATATAATAACTAATATTTATTTAGCACTTTAGTTTTGTAAAGTGCTTTACCTATATTACCTTATCTGAAGCTCGAATCAACCCTATGAGATAGATACTATTTTACATTTTACAGCTGAGGAAACTAAGGCAGACAGAGGTTAAATGAGTGTCTAGTTAAGTAAGTAGCTAGTAAGTGCCTGAAGCAGGATTTGAATTCAGGTTTTCCTGACTCCAAATTCAACACTAGAGCATTATCTCCTGGATTCAAATCTAACACTCTTTCCATTGTAAAACACTAGGCTTATAGATTCTAAACAACTACTCTAAATTTATTGTTAAAATGGGAAAATGGGAGAAAGAATTTCCTCTTTAAAATCATAAATGCTTGAAATGAGTTTTGAAAACCTCAGCACCTTTGATCACAAATTAGTGAAAAGTGAAAGCAGAACTTAAGAAGCAACTACGCCCCCCTCACCCCAAATTACTTCAAAGCTTCTAAGAACAACACTGGTCAGTGATATGACAGTGAGATCATGACTGTCTAGGACTTAATAGACAAATCCTAGAGAGTTTCCTGAGGTCCACAGAGGTTAAATGATTTGTCCAGTGTCACACTGGTTTTTCTGATTCCAAGTCCAGTCCTCTAGCCATTATGTATATTGCCTCTTAAATATTTAGTTTGAGAGATGTCACTTCCTCCTCCTCTTCCTCATCACCATCATCATCATGGTAGCAAAATGAATAGAGTGCTGGACATTGAGTTGGGAAGACCTGAGTTCAAATCCCACCTCAAATCCTTATTAATTATATGACCCTGGGCAAGTCATTTAACCTCTCTCAGCCTCAGTTTCCTTATCTGTCAAATAAAGATAATAATACTGCCCACCTCCCAGGGTTGTTTTGAGGATAAAATGAAATGTTATTTGAAAAGTGCTTTTGTAAACTTTAAAGTGTTATAGTCATGCTCATTATTATTAGTTACCATCTTGGTACTAGGAAATGATTTCAGAAGAGCCTCTTGCAGGCTTGATTGACTTAATCAATCATCAAGTATTTATTTAGGCACATATGATGTGCCAGGCACAGTAGTAGGTGCTAGCCATGTAGATACAGGGATTGAAACAATACCTAGTCTCAAGAAGCATCCACTCAAATGAGATTTAGTAGTAGTTACAACAGTTGACACACCTCATACATATTTTGAAGAGAAAATGATAAATTTCATTAGAGGTTAATGAAAAATAAAGATACAATTTTTTTCCCCATCCAAGTTCAAAGACCTCATGAAATCTATGGTACATGGACTCCCAGGTAAAGAACCTTTGCACTAAAATGAAGGTTTAAATTTCTATAAAATAAAAGTGAAGTATACTTCATTTCATAAGACCTTGATCATTTCTACCTCTACATTCTTGTGCATGCCATTACTCCTCTGGAATGTGTGTGTGTGTGTGTGTGTGTGTGTGTGTGTGTGTGTGTGTGT